AATAGAATTGGATGAGGAGAGTCGCGGGATTACAACTTTTATAACACACAAGGGGATGTTCCGCTATAAACGTCTGATGTTTGGAGTCACATCAGCTCCTGAGATATTTCAGAGAATTTTCGAAAATTTACTGACTAAATGCACAAATTGTCTGAACTATCTAGATGACATTATCGTGTATGGTAGTACGGAACAAGAACACGATGCCTGTTTGGAAAGAGTATTGAGAGTTTTTCAAGAAAACAACGTTCTTCTGAATAAAAGCAAATGTACCAGGAAAGTTCAACAACTACATTTCCTAGGTCATCGACTGTCGCACGAAGGTATTGATGCGGACCAGGACAAAGTGAAAACAATATTACAGTTCCGCTCACCAAATACCAAAGAAGAGGTGCGTAGTTTCTTGGGACTAGTGACCTATCTAGGTAAATTCATACCAGACCTGGCAACAACAACAGAACCACTTCGACAGCTGACCAAGAAAGACATGAGATTTAGGTGGGGGGAAATACACCAAGCAGCTTTTGAAAAACTGAAGCAGGCATTGACGAAATCACCGACGCTGGGGTATTTCGATCCAAGGAAACGAACACGGGTGATAGCTGATGCCAGTCCTGTGGCACTTGGAGCTGTGCTCAATCAATTTGATGGGGAGATACCAAAAGTCATCTCATTTGCTAGTAATGGTCTCTCTGAAACAGAACGACGTTACTCTCAAACGGAGAAAGAGAGTTTGGCTTTGGTTTGGGGGGTGGAGAGATTCTATTTCTACCTGACAGGGCTAACATTCGAACTGATCACCGATCACAAACCACTGGAAACCATTTTCAAACCCACATCCAGGCCCCCAGCTCGAATTGAACGATGGGTACTACGACTGCAAGCTTTCAAATTCAAAGTTATTTATCAGTCGGGGAAATCGAACATCGCAGATTCTATCTCAAGATTATGCCAACTGAATGATGCCGGAACATTTGACAAAGATAGCGATAACCACATATTTACTGTGGTGGAATGTAGCACCCCTAGGGCGATGTCCATTTCACAAATTACAAACGAAAGCAAGCGGGATAAGGAATTGACGTACGCCATAGATAAATCCAATGATGATAGTTGGGTAGTAGCAGATAAAAGTGTTTACTATCCGTTTCTATTAGAATTAACCACTCTTGGACCAATCCTACTTCGGAACAATAGAATTGTGATACCTACAGACCTACGACGGCAAGTACTACAGTTAGCACACGAAGGCCATCCAGGCGTGAACGTTATGAAAAGACGCCTAAGAGCAAAGGTGTGGTGGCCGTTAATCGACAGGCAAGTGGAAGAGTTCGTAAAACAATGTAGAGATTGCTTACTGGTTAGCCAACCAGACAAACTTCCATTGATGACGAGGAACAAATTTCCAGACGGACCTTGGCAATACTTAGCACTCGATCTGATGGGAACATTACCTAACCAAGATCAGGTGTTGGTGATAATCGACTATTACTCTCGATACCAAGATATAAAATTTTTGAGAACGACAACTTCGTGTGTGATCATCAAACACCTGAATGAATTATTTTCCCGCCTGGGGATTCCGAAATCAATAAGAGCCGATAATGGGAGACAATTTTCGAGTAAAGAATTTCAGCAGTTTTGCGAATCTAATAACATCAAACTCATCCACACACCTCTTTACTGGCCCCAAGCGAATGGAGAAGTGGAAAACATGAATAAATCCATCTTGAAAAGATTACAAATATGTCACAATAATAAACAAGACTACAGATCGGAAATACAGAAGTTTATCTTGATGTACAACGTTACCCCGCATGGAACTACAGGAAAGTCTCCATCAGAACTTCTATTCAATAGGAGAATACGGGATAAAATTCCATCGATAACGGACATTGTTGGGGAAGATATTGACCAGGAAGCACAAGACAACGACATAATGAATAAACAGAAAGGAAAGGAAAGAGAAGATAGTAAGAGGAAAGCAAGAGGGAGTAACATCGGCGTTGGGGATAAGGTAGTGCTCCAGAATATGGTTATTCCACATAAACTCACAACCAGATTCAATAATACAGAATACGAGGTGATAGAGAGGAATGGAAACGAGGTGACCTTGGTTGGATATGGTAAGACTGTAAAGCGGCACGTTTCTCATGTGAAACGGACTCCGGCAGCAACAGTGACAACTCCACGACCGGTATCGACTGACACAACCGGAGAACCTAGAGGTAATCCAGGTATCGGTTTGAAATAACTATCATGTATACAATTGATATCAACAACTTATTCACTTTGCAGGGAAATCGACGTTTACAATGTATAACCTACAAATAACATTCCAGGTATTGCATCCGGGGTAGAAGTCGGGGAACCAACAACATCAAGCAGCGAGACAGCGACATCAACGAGCACGCTTCGACAACCACAACCCACAGACATCAACATTTCGGAGCAAGAGGCCTTTGAGAAAATAGAACCTTTGAGACTGAAAAAAAAGGACGGAATGTGGGAGCGTGCCTCTACGAGTCGATAAGCGACATGGTGATTCACCGGGATGAGATATCGAGGAATGTGAATCGGGAGTCGTGAACGGACTACGGCCCGATATATGACATGCTATTGAGTATAATACATTGTTACTATTGTTAGTGTTATTATTATATATTAAATAAATCAGTGTTTGCAAGTGTGTGCATTAGTACTGCCTAGTAGGACACCACAAATACTATGTACTGGACGGAGGTTAAAGTTTTCTATGTGGAACAATGATTACATCATCACACTTACTTTATTTGTTCACCGTCAATTAGCTGATATTGAAATGAATCCTAAGAACAAACTGTACATTATTATTGTTGTTGTTGTAGAGTGAGAGAGATTGAAACCATCATAAGAGTGAGATGCGACGAGTTTTGCCCAGTCACGTGACAACTAGACGATCAGCAATTAGAAGTTCAAATAAACTATAGAGCCGACGAGCAGGAACCAGCTGATTGTGGGCAATTTCCAGGCACAGTATATTATCCTTTCACGAAAGAATAATAATATACTGTGGATAAGAGCACATCTAGGAGTTTATAGAGTTTATCTAGTATCATTTTGAATCCCCCATCCCCCACTACACCTCAGCTTTTAGTTGTGCGATGGTCGTGCGATGATCAATATGATCAGTTTTTCAGAGACAAATATGGACAATGCAGTGCATTTTTATTGAAATAAAAAACGGTCGATTATTTATTAAATTATATCAGTATGGTGGTGGTTTCAGTTACCCTTCTGATGATTAGAAATAACTGAGGGGTATAACTATATCAACATGTGGATACATACATCACGGCGTACAGAAACAACAGATATAACTACTGAACGTTATTGGTCAAAATTGGATCAGAATATCGAATATTCAGATTGATAACATTCGTTAATTACTTGTCTTCTCTCTTGAAATGCATATAGATAGGGAGAAATTCATCTTGCCACATTAGGATTGTGTCTTTTACAAGAACACTCACTTTATAGTATTGATGAATCAAACACAATTTTTCTCATTTTCTGTCTTGAAAAAATAATGAATTCAAATTAACTGAAAATTTTTGGAACGCTAAATAGTTCCGGTAGGTAGAAAATTGAGAGTTGGAAGAAAAAAGAAGACACACTCTTTTTAAAATAAATATGAAAACTCAAAAGTTATTCCCACAAATATTCATAAAATAAATAACAACTTCAACCATCATACCCAGTTGATGAAAAAAAAAGTGCATCACAAGAGCTAAACATTCTCTAAGTCTAACTTACAAGAATACCAAGGAAATTAGGGCTTTAGATCTTCATCATTATATAAAGGAATTAGCAAAAGAACTGCAGCACATATTTACAAAACCATTTGCCGCCAACTCTTGAGTATGCTCACCCAATATACATAAACACTAGGAAGACGGCACTGAACAATTTGGAAGTAGCAGAAAGAGCTAGCCTGAGAGCCATTACCAAAATCCGGCACCCTCAAAATCCCCTTCACCATCCATCAAACGAACTTTTATATCAGCTGACCAGGGTGAAACCAATTTCTGAGACAGAAAAAGCTAACCTTGAAGTTTTCCAAAAACGAATCCAATCTCCAAATTATCCAATTCCAGAATTTACAGAGAGATCAAACAGTGAACCCAAGAGCGAAGTTTCCGCAAACACACTATTGGAATTCTTAATCAATTCAGAAGACTGAAATTCCTTCCAAAGTCTTGCCTCACAATACACTTTTCTTCTTTTTTTTTCTTTTTATATTCAATAATGATGAATTTAAACTCAATGTAAAATCACTGTGTAACACAGGCTGTAGGACCTGGGTCGGTGGCCTTTTGGGTATCCAATAAAGCGTCTTAATTATTATTATTTAGATAACAATGGTAGATGACGGGACCAAACATAACCTGGCCCAACAAAAATCCGATCGGTATTTTATACTCGCAAAGGCGCCACCCGTGGGCCTCATGGGGGTAGCAAGGAATGGTTCAGGGATCCAGTTGAATAATTGATTATCCATTGCATTATATTTCGTGTTGGTAAACATGCTTTGTAAAACCTATATGCCGGTAATTTTATTCTTAATCTGTAAATGCAGTATCAGAAGTGCAGGCTTTTAAACAACGTATTTCCAAGATTTTTGAAAAAAATCAGCAATTTTTTGTATTACTAGTGCATGTAGAGGTACACTGCACAAAAATCACACAAGTATGGCAACCCTGGAACCCAAGGCATAATCCACTCAAATGCCTCAAATTCAGATCGTTCTAAAATCCTACATGCGCTTTTCCACATAGAAGTTTATCAAATTATTTTTGGGCTATGTTGATATTGATGTTTTGAAACCATAATCCAACTTAGTTGAAATTGTTCTTCATACTATCTGAAGTTGAACTGTTGCTATCAATATCGTATTTGCTGAATATAAGTAGTTTTGACTGTTGACAGCAACAGACATGTTTTAATGTGTGTATGTCTACCTGTGCTTCACTCCATGTTGTATCATAGTTAATTTTAGTCATACATTCAAGAACCTCTGATAGTTTCTTCATATTTCGTTTTTTTAGAGCTTTAGCTTCATCTTTCTCTCTTTTTGCCAAAGCAAACATAACATCTTCATAGATGTCTCTGCGGTCGGCATCCGCCACATTTGACCAAACCTAAAATAGTTAGAAAATGAATATTTGGGGAAAAAATAATGGAAATGATTCAACAAACCTGCATGGTGCTAAAAATTTCATCACACCTATAATACTTGGTAGTTGAATTTATCAAATCTGACTTTAGCAGGAACTCCTCTAATTCTTCCTTATACCTCTTTGATCTCAGTCTCTGTTCTTCCTTTTCATCTTTTTGCTTCTGTGTTTTATAGGCATTAAATACCTGAAATAAAGAAACATAATAAGCAACTTTCATATTTCAACATATAAAAAAACTCGCCTGTTTCTTCTCATTCAGTTTCTTGAAAGTTTCATATCGAGGATCGTGCGATATCAGCTTGACACACTGTTCCCAAGAAGCGTTTGATGGCACATTCTTGTCTTTCAGGAGTTCTTTGAACGCCTCTATCGCTTCTTTCTTATCTTTGAAAACTTTAGGCTCGGGCGTGGAAGTTCTGGATTCTTTGGCAGTATCGCTACGAGGCGATAAATTGGAGTCCTCATCTGAAACAAATAAAAAAGCCCAAAGATCAATACTATAATCAACCATATCCTGAAGAACTACCTTGTTTCGGAGGGGGTGTAGGCAATGAAATGGCAGCTAAAGTTGCAGCCATCGCAGCTTCCAAAGCACTGCTTTTACCACTAGGACTCGAGGCTGAAAGAAAAAGATGGATATGGGTGTGTTTTTCATTCCAACAATGGGTCATGCACATGAATCAAAAAAAACCATCCAAATGTGCAAAATTTCCGCTGAAATCTATGAAACTTTCAATTCGCTTTGAGATCATTCAGTGATTTGGAATACACGACAGGACAATTGACACATTTTTAGTATTGTTCTTTGTTTTGATTTGATGAGAAACAAAAAGTATTGAGGATTTTTTATATTCTTGAGAGATTTAAGAAGATGGAGTTAGTGTAAATCAATAAAATCATATCAGCCTCTTCTGATTCTGAAGATACATGACAGCTCTATAATGAAATGAAGTAATAGTATTCAGCCTCTTCTGATTCTGAAGATACATGACATCTCTATAATGAAATAAAATAATAGTATATTACGTAATATGTGTTGTAAGAAAATTTGGACAAACAGTCTGAATTATAATTCTTGACAGTTATGACATACCTACCTATTCGCGGGAATCAATGTCACCAGGTGGCGCTCGGTTTTCATCGTTTCATGTCAAAGCCACGTCAAAACTGGGGGAAAACAAACTCAATCCTCACACAATCCCATTAGTGCCATTAGCTTGTGTACTGTGTACTGATAAGAGTGATGTTTTTAAATTTCTTGACATTAATTGTCAATATTCGATCGAAAACGATAATGTAGATGTTTTTTTGGCAGATATTTTGCTCTATTTAGACGGAAAAAGCCGACCAGTAGTGGAAGGAGAAGCAGTTCTCCGTGCTAATCATGTGATTTTGTGTGAGGCAGAAGACTTCAACAAAAGGCACATTTTTGCACTTTGTCTACAAACTTCGGCGATGAAATTTTCCCCACATGAAGTAAAATTGAAGTTGGGGTCCAGAGGAACTCCTGTAGAACAATGGATTTGTATTTGTTCATGCAAAGCAGGACAATCTGGGTATTGTAAACATGTTGTAGCTGTTTTTTTATATGTCAATTGATTTGCTCGTCATAAATAGTTTGAATTGTTTGAACTATCTCCAATTCTTCACCCGTTCACTGTTCACCAAACTAATAAAAATGTAATAATATAAAAAAATTAACCAACTCAACCATCATCACTACCAACAGTGCCAACACTTTATGTCATTGACAAGTTTGACTACAGCTACAGCAAGCTGAATGCAATGTAGTCTATGCACTTTATCCATAGACAACAGTTTGTTTTCCCCCAGATTGAAGTTCGTATTATGTAACCTAGATGTCGCCCACTTCGTGAATCTTGCGAATACTGGCGGAATAAACGAAAACTGTGGGATGTGCTTACTGTGCGTCGTAAGGAGCTACTTACTGAGGCTGTCTCTCGTGTGTTCTTGCCTACTTTCTATGGTGGCCGTAGGTAAAAATTATTTCATAAGATGATTCAGTGGCGGCTGAAACTGGGGGTGGTGAAGGCAAAAATCACCCCAATTTTTATATGTGCATTCAATGTTTCAATTTCGAGTACAAAATGAGAAAACAGATAGATTTCTGGATATAATATTTTGTTGTATTTTTTCAATGTGCTGGATTCAGGATATGAGAAATCTAAGCTAATAAAAAATAATAACTGGACGAATAATGGAGCTCTTGGTTTTGTATCCCTCCGCTACACGTCGCGAGAAAACACAACCTCAAGCTAAAATCTAATAATTTTTTCCCTTGTATAATAAATAACTATTTATGAGGAATGGGTGATTTTAAATGTGTCAGAGCAGAAACAAAATAGTAGATTGTTTTATTAGGATCAAAAGTGACACTTTGTTTGACAAGCGAATTTTGCATTTGCGAAGCGGAATGTTTAGCGAAGCCGAGCGAAAGCAACATTTGCGAGTCAAACAAAGTCACTTTTGATCCGAATGATACATGCTATTTTTTCTGCAAACGAAAGAATTAACTCAAATAAATATGTGAACTAACCACCAATGCCGTGCCATATGTATGCAATGTAACAAATTATCCGTGTGGTGAGAATATTCTACCTGCATTAACAGCAGGATTATTCATTTTTCAAGGATCTTCGAATTGTTGATCTAATATAAATACAACCACAAAGTGACATATTTGTCTATGGACCAGGTGCTCTAATGGCAAATACCGAGCCAGTGCCAAGGTATAGGAAAAAGGAGTGGACAATGTTAGGTTAGTGAGCATATCAACAATAATAATAGCGATTATTTCTTTCTTTCCATACTCCACTGTGTTTGGCTTGATTACCAAATGGAGGTAAACAATATCGTTGTTTGAGGCAAAAAACTATTGCTGGCCGTGATTATTCAAAAACAAGTTATCCATCCCGAGAATAATGAATGAAATACAGATCAAGCAAGTATGTGAATCTTGAAGGCTTTCCTGATCGAAGCAAAAATACTTAACTGAGATGTTTATAGTTCCTATATTTAACTATAATAAGGTGTCTTTATATCTCCAGCATGGGTATGAAATGCCAATTCTGCCAAAATCAGAAACAAATCAGGTATGTGCCCCAACTCAAATAACCAACCATAACAATGTTTATTCTTGATGATGTCTAGTACATACTTTACTAAATGTGTTGCCTAGCAACATACCTATGTTTGTGTCAGTAATAGAAACGTCCATAATTTAGTATTTGTGACTTCAAACTTGTCAGTTTGAATATGTATTTTTTGTATTTTGTTTTGGGACCAGCACTTGGCTTGCTGATTAGGAAACAACTTTTGTTCTAATAATTATTGTATTTGAATGAAAAGTACTTGAAAAAAAAGTATTTATATGATGTATTATTTAATATTTATTTATGTTTGTTACACATATCATAAATTTGAATGTATAGATGATTGGGTATCATTATTGAATTATTGTTAGTATTTGTATCATTCATTTGCTATGCCGGCTCATTTTGGGAGTAATTTTGGGTTAAATTTTTCTTCCAAAACGGCACCAAAAATTATAAACAGGATGTTAAATTCAGTGAAAAAAAAATCATCTCATATTCAAGGAAATACCTTCTTATATAAACAAGCATCTACATAGGTTCTGAAACAAGGATGACATTTTTGTTTACTGAAAATAGGTATCCTGTCTGTTTTTGAGAAAAATTAGTCATCCCCTAAATTACTCAGAGATTTCTGAAGAAAAAATTCTTGTGAAATTTGTACCTACTTGAAGATTGTATTATTGGTGAATTTGGCCCAGTAGATGCTGCCACTGCAACTAGCAGGGGCTGCTGTATAGGTAAAGGACTGGTAACTTCTCTTGGAGTTACAGGAGCAGATAGAGGTTTCAATCTGAAATCATTTTTGAAACTAGATGAATTTTATTTAGTCTCATCTAATCAATCAAAAAGTTATAGTCATCTAGAACCAAATACAATGGGGAAGTTTTCACTGTGAAGTTTGTAAAAAATTAATATAAAGGAATTTCTTCTTTTTTTTGTGAGATCAAATTTCACTTCTGAAAAAAATTAATAGAAGAGGACCTTGTAATTTGTAATCCAGTGAATAGAGACACATAGAGGGGGTTCACCTTACAAACGGTCCGGTAGTTCTGAATTTTTGATATGTTATCTAAATAGAATGGTTATTGAGTGTTCAAAATGCAAAATGCACAATTTCCCCCCCTCCGCGCTCTCCGCCATATTGAAAAAACCCAAAGAAATCGGCACTTCCATGCGCCATTCAATGTTGTAGAGGATTGAATTTCCTATAATTCTCGTTTCGAATTTTGTTTCTAGGACTGATAGTTACGGAGATATGATTTTTTTTTTAAATAAAAAAAAACGCATGTTCCGGAATTTTGTCAAGTACGTTCAGCGACACTATGGCACCAATGTGATGGTGATTTTTGATGGCTACACTAGTACTACAGATCCTTCTCAGCAAGGGATCAAGATTGCTGAACGAGCAAGAAGGTACAGGGCAAACTCATCATCAAACGTGGTGTTTGACAAAAACTGTCAACACCGTACCTCAGGATACATTCCTGGCCAATGAAGGGAACAAGGACCGATTTGTGAAGCTGCTCTGCAATGAAATGCAAGAGTCAAATACAGTTACAGACCAAGCTTCCGAAGATGCTGACAGGTTGATAGTTGCCACAGCTAAATGTCTGTCCCCCACGTACGACGCCGTCATCATTGTCGGAGAAGACATTGACCTACTCGTCCTACTGACTGGCACAACACCTGCGGTGAACAATGTCTACCTCGAAAAACCAGCGAGAGGGAAACATTCAGACGCAATCTACTCCGCCTCCTCCTACAAGTACAACTACAAAGGCTGTATCGTGCTCCTGCACGCAATATCGGGCTGCGACACCACATCTAACATTTCTGGGATTTACGAGAGACCCATCAAGCGGAGAGGTTCGAGGACCCTGCTGCCAGTCCCCAAGAAATTTCAGTAGCAGGGAAGAGATTCTTGGTATCCCCATATGGTGGCAGTAAAGAACAATCGTTGAGCTCCCTTCGCTATAGCAGATTGAAAACAAGTACCCTAAAACTCAATCTGGCTAAAATACCTCCGACCACTGACTCCGCACATTTTCACTTACTGAGGACATACCACCAAGTCATTGAGTGAATGGGTAGGTAGGTAATCAATTGAAATAGTACCTGCATCTTAAGCACCGCGCTGTGTCATGTAAAAATTCAAAGTAGGATTCCAAATTCAAGCTTACACTGTATTTTTAGAAACAATGTGGAGTCACAATAGCCAAAAAAACAATATGCTGTTGTTTTAACTTTTATTTTCAAGTCCCATTACGTAGGGTGGGTGGAAAAAATTGTACATGCATTTCTGTAAATAATTAAATTCCCTACAAATCTTCTTCCGATATTTGTTTCCCTAGAATATGCCATAAGGGAACTACAGCGTTCTAAAGTGAGAAGTTTTACAAATTTCCGGAAAATGCGATTTTTTACATTTTTTTAAAAGTTGCATATGTCCGTAACTATCAGTTCTAGGATCAAAATTCAAAACGTGAATTATAGGAAATTCAATCCTCTACAATACTTAATAGGACTCTTCCAGAAAGTTCCTATTTTTTTCGGTTTTTTCAATATGGCAGTGGGCACGGAGGAGGGGGAATTGTGCATTTTGCATTTTAAACACTCCATAACCATCCTAGATAACATATCAAAAATTCAGAACTACCGGACCGTTTGTAAGGTGAACCTCCTCTATTCACTGGATTATTGGCTCCTCAACCATTCCTGTGACGTACTTTCTGAAAATCCACATTCACACAGATTTAAAATACGATTCTCTGTTCCAGTACGACGTTGCCAACATAGGTTATCCAATCCTACTTTGTCAAGTGTTATGAATAATTGCCTCAAATTTCTCATTGGCTGAATGAAGTTGATTACTAATAAAGACAAATTTTAATATTTTGCGATAGTATCTATAATTTTTCACTATCGTTATATTACAATATATTATTCATAACTTCTCAGTCATTTTTTTGCTAATCAATACGTTCCTTAATAAAACGGATATCTATTTTCTAGGAACGTTGCAGATTATATCTTGCAACAGCGCCTAATACTTCGAGTCCGTCCACACCACTCAAAATACTGACAGGCACAACAAGAGGAAGAAGCCATGGGTATCGGCTTCATTCTGTTCTGACCGATGACAGTAAATTAGGAAGGATAGCATCATTGAATGTAGCCGATAGTGATTCATTGATTCAATGATATTTTCGTGTGGGATCGAGCTCTATTAGAGATATTTCAATGCATTAATAACAAAACCATAACCTGTCAGAATGAAGCCATCTACCCTCTGCATTCCTGCTCCGGGTGCATTTGTGGTTATGTATGTTTCTGTTTACCAGTTTTACTTCTTCTATTTTTTTCATTCGTTTTTCATTCATTAGCTATTCACTAGCTATAGTCTTCACTATCAGCTATTTTCAGACTAGATTCAGAATGTACGTCACAGTTTGCCGCCCGGAAAATTAGAAATTGCTTTAATTTGGAAATGAAAACGACTTGGACTTTATCGATCGCCATTCTGTACAGCATGGACATAAAACTGGAGAGTTCCGAACTGATTTTATGAAAATTCATCGGAAGGAAACTTCCTCATTCCAGGAAGGTAACAAATTCAAGATTTTAACAGAAGAAAACTATTTTAAATAGTGATCGTTCTATCAAACAATCCATACAGAATCCTCCCTAGCTTTGTTTTCAAATTGCACCCCTTTGTTTTGTCATTTCATTCTAAAAGATTTTATTTAACTTTCAATGTATGTCTTGTACAAGTGGAATCTTTGAACTGCATTTTGAAGTAGATATTGTTCAGTAGTTATTCGTCGAGAAATTCGTCTATTTTTTGAATTACTGATGAATAGTCTGACTGACTTTCACCCAAAAATGTCACTTTCTTGAACTGCCAAAATCTCATCAAATACAAGGGGATTTCGAAAATATAAAACTACAGAGTATTCTGAATAAAATCAAATGAAAACATTCGTCCCCCTAAGAAAAGTCTTCGACCACTTTCAATATAGAAAGTTGACATAATTTCGTGGCCGGTCTTCCGTAAACCCCAGTTTGAGTTTTCACGTCTGCTACTCGAACTTTATTGTCTGCACCGGGGTATGTAGCAATGATTTTTCCCATAGGCCAATTGTTTCTTGGCATTCTGTTGTCACAAATTACTACCAAATCTCCTACATTCAAAGGATGACCATCTCTATACCATTTCGTTCGCTTTGTTAAAGTGGGTAGGTATTCACGAATCCACCGGTGCCAAAAATGATCCGCTAATTTTTGTGCATATCTCCACTTCTTTGTGATGTCTATTCTACGATTTTCAAATGAACCTGGCGATTTTGAAGCACTTGAGGTTCCGATCAAAAAGTGGTTGGGGGTGATACTTTCAGTATCCTCTGCATTGGTAGAAACATATGTTAAAGGTCGACTATTAACAATATTCTCAGCTTCGGCCAATAACGTTGTAAGGACTTCTTGTCTTGTGTTTCTTTCTCTCAACGTAATTTTCAATGCTTCTTTTACAGACCGTATCATTCTCTCCCACGCTCCACCCATGTGAGGGCTAGCAGGACAAATTCCATGAAATTTGTTTAGCTACCATCTCATTCTGTATCAATTTCGAGTCCATTTCTTTCAGAGCTTGTTTCAATTCTTTTTCTGCTGCTTTCATGTTGGTCCCATTATCGCTCCAAATGACTTCCGGTTCTCCACGTCTAGATATAAATCGTCTTAGTGCCAAAATACATGAATCCGTTGTCAATGATTCAGCCAATTCTAAATGAATCGCTCTCACTGAGAGACATGTGAACATTACCCCATATCTCTTTTCTACTCGTCGTCCTATATTCACTCTGAAAGGTCCGAAATAATCCATAGGTCGCTGGTTCAGATCCGGCTCGAAGGACCATAAATGTTCAGTAGTTATTCGTCGAGAAACTCGTCTATTTCTTGAATATATTACTGATGAATAGTCTGACTGTTTCTACCAAAAATGTCACTTTATTTATAACTGCCAAAATCTCATCAAATACAAGGGGATTTCAAAGATATCAAACTACAGAGTATTCTGAATAAAATCAAATAACAGATATCTTCAACTGATTGAGCTAAAATTTTGTATACACGTTTAGTTTGGATGACAATGCACGATAAGGTGTGTGATGTTATTCTAAATCCCATACGGCGGACCATCCAAGATGGCGGAATAATTGTTTTTAATGCACTTCTCCAATATGGGTATCGAATAAAAAGGCTCGTTGAGAGCAACCCGAAAAATAATGTGACGTCATTCTAAATCCAATATGGCGGACCATCCAAGATGGAATAGTTATTTTCAAGGCACTTTCACAATATGGGTATCAAATGAAAGGGCTCGTTGAGAGTAACTCGAAAAATAATGTGCCGTCATTCTAAATCCAATATGGGGGACCATCCAAGATGGCGGAATATTTATTTTTAATATACGTCTACAATGTAGGTATCAAATGAAACGGCTCGTTGAGAGTAACTTGAAAAATAATGTGACATCATTCTAAATCCAATATGGCCGCATAGTTATTATTTATGCACTTCTGCAATAGGGGTATCAAATGAAAGGGCTTGCCGAGAACAATTAGAAACAATATGACATCACTCTAAATCCAATATAGCGCACTATTGGAGTTTTTGTACTTTTTTATACTGAAAGGGTTTGCTGAGAATAATAATGCGGGTATAAAAAAATGACTTTCAACCCTGTAACATGGATTGATTAACTTTAACTTGTGTCATTTGGCGAGATAGGCGTCATCAGCATTGGTCTGCAACCTGTCTAGAAAGAAAACCCCAAGATCAGTTAGGTCTCCTTATTGAAGATATGGACTGTTTGAAATTAGCCGGCAAATGACCTTGTAACAATGATGCGTTGAATGAGATGAACACACTGAGAAACCGAGCCAGTGATAACTAAAGAGTAAAATATAAATTATAAAAGGGGATTCATAGTAATTTATTTTAGGTTTCACAGAAAATCACTTGCGAAAAGCATGAATCGTTTTTATTGATAATTCGCTACATCAACATGAAAAATGCGCGGTACGAGATGACCGGTGGTATTTACGAGTCTCTTGGTTACTATTTTTTGTGCTTCTCCCGTTGTCCCCGCAGGCTGGTGACGTCCCGATTTGCAAGGGTTAATCACGTGGTAGGTCAGGGCTGGCGTTAGGAATGGGAGAATGGGTATTATTGTTACAAAATTAAAAGTAAAACAAACTAAAAAAAAAACTTTTTTTAAATGCTCTGAAAGGAACAAAATAAAATTTTCGTTTACATTTCAGCTATCAACTTCTTATAACCTCATTATATATGAGCATAAAAGTTTGTCCAGCAGATTACTTGTGTAAATAACCTAGTACTAATTTGATTATGTAGAATCTGCTGTTTAAATTTTTAAAATAACAATCTAATTAAATATTCATCATCACAACACAAGCTTTTGGGATGACCTAAATTGTGTATAATGAGTTTATAAATTGATAGTTATAATTTAAAAGAAAAATGTTATTCCCTTCTTTTTAGAGCCTTTAAATGAAAGCTGTTTTTTAATTTTCTTTATTTTTAATTTATTATACATGTTACTTGTAGGTAGATGTAACAGAGTTCAGAGCAATCAATTTCTGAACAGTTGACCAGTGCCTCTCATTATTATTTTATGAAAAACAATAATTGTGCAATTAATATTGTTTCTATTTATTATGGTCTATGTATGTTTTGTTGTATTAATCCCTATTATAAAAAATAATGTTTCTTGGGGTAATAAAGACAATCAATTACAGGTTTGACTTTGAGTGAAATATTGCAGTTTCAATAGAAATGACATTTGATATCACAATATACAGGGTGTTTCATAATTGAATGCTGATCCTAAAGGGCGATGATCCTTGGATGATTTTAAGGAGAGAAGTTCATATCAACATATGTCCTGAACCTCTTAGTTTTTGAGCTACAGGGTGTTGAAATCAGAAGCGTACAGCGTTTTTTTAAACAAAACATTCAATATCAGGTCTACGAGGACATCACTGGTAAAAGTAAAAGTTTGATTTTCGCCCCAAAACAAAATGTGTTTCCACTTATAGTGGGTGTCTACTGAATTACCAAAAACAATATCCAAGAACTGAAGGAACAAAATTCTTTGGTTGAATGAATGAGAATTGAAAAAAAAATCTGGTTCCCAGAAAAGTCAGTGGCGTACTATTTTTTTCTTCAAAAATTGTCAGTTCAAACCGCGTACGGACGCCACTGGTGAGAATTTTTAAATATCTTTCACGTAAAAAAATGCTCCTCAATAATGAAGAGGTGTATACAGAATATCATAAAAATATCTAAGAGTGATAACAAATTATGATGAAAAACTCATTTTTTTCTTCATCACCCTGTAGCTCAATAACTAGAAGGTTTAGGACATATGTTGATATGAACTTTTGTCTTTGAAATCATTCAAGGATTATGGCTCTTAAGGATCAGCATTCAATTATGAAACACCCTGTATATAGTTATTTTTTTATCTGGCTTAATTCACATACATACCTATCATATCTGAATAAGACAAATAGTGAATATGTCTGAAACCAGGGGCACTCCCCAGAGCATCTGCATATCACTTTTACTAAAATGTTTATAGCACTCTGGTACAAACCCACAAACCTCTCATTCTGGATTCACTAATATATCATGACTCAAATCTATTGAGGGCATCATATTCAAAATTATGAGGGAATGTATAAGCCTGTGAAAATCATAATCAGTACATTTTTTTTGTCATTGGTATGCAATTTGAAAAATCAAACATAGGGGTGGGTCCAGTGAGAAGGGTTTTACATTTCATAGCAGTTTTTTCATCATATGTGTGGAATAACTGTATATCTGCTGACCTCAAAGCTTCTGTATACATTTATAAAGGTACATCACAGTTCAATCAATATTACACAATTCATACTTACTCTTCTGTAGCTATCTTTTTCTTGATTTCTTCTAATTCAGGTGGTATTACCCATCTGGATTCTTTTGTGTTCACATTATGATAATAAATTTTACCACTATCTGCAGTATACTCCTTCCATGGGCATTGGGACAATAACAACTATAATCAACTTCTATAATCAGATCTATGTTCATCAAATAACAACTTTCTACTTACCTCTGCTGAGGTTTTCAATTGGTCTGGCTTCTGCCAAGAACTCTGCTTGGTTACTGAATTATAATAATATGTTCTGCCATCAGGTGCCTTATGCTCTGTCCATTCACATCCTGGAGTAGCTGGAGGCATACCTCCAGGAGGTCCAAAATTGCCAAAACCTGGTGGAGGAACATTGAAAGAAGGGATCATTGGTGGAAATGCAGGTATTCCAGGCATAGGTACTTGAGGCATAAGAGGTGGGGTACCTATTCCTGGAGGAGGACCAAAGCCTTGTGGTAAACTGGGATCCTGTGAAAGATACACAGTACACAACTGTATTTAGAATGTAAATATTTGATGCAACTTACCATCTTAATAGCTATAGAGTCGAATTAATATTCTCCAGTACCATCTATTGAAGCATTATGGCTTATTTAGAACGAGTGTTTGAAGTGTTCCACAAACTCATAAGTATCAATTCAAATATGCAAGAAAAAGAAAAACCCTGGACTGGAAAAACTGGAAATGTGCCGACGCCGAGAAGTTGTTATCAACTGAGTACTGACACTACTGACAAGTGACAAGCATTCAGACAAGTGACTGAGCAGTTGACGTTCAAGAGGTACGTTCAGAATTAAACTCTAGAGCAGCATTGTTCGGAACTTGAATGTCCGAGAAAAATACGAGCACTACACGACAGTATCGTAGCTGGCATCCGACAATTTGCGGCTGGCTGTTGAAGTGCTCTTAGCTGGCGATGGCGGGAAGGAAGACTCGTGTGGATATGCCAACATTGGCAGATACAGGGTGATCAGGATTCTGAATCTTGAAGCACCCTGTATTTTTTCCAATTAAATTCCAGTAGATAGTGAATCGGAAGTCAAGATAGGGACATGTGAGCCGTTTTGATCCATAATGAATAGTTTGGACACAAAAAAATCCTAAAATTGAAAAATCTCGATTTTGAACACCCTTTATCTCTGTAATCATTCCTGCTAGACCCCAAGTGTGATGCATTGAGGAAATAAGCTCTTCAGGAAGAATCTAAGAATGCAATAAAATAAATAAAATACAGGGTGCTCCATTTGAAATGACAAAGTTGCTAGTTGTTTCTGATAGAATCGGCAACACTGTATCGATGAAAATATTTTAGACCGATAGAGAATGTTTAATTATGAAAGCATCTCAATTTTCAGAATGTTCTGTCCTTTCGTTCTCCAGATACTTCTAATAAGGCCATCCACCGTGGATCACCCTGTATAGACATAGTATATGGACAGAGTGCCCAAAATCATGGAAACTTTTGAATATCTCAGTATAACGATTCTCACGAGATTTTTTAAAAAAACTTACTTGGTTAATACCGTTACCTCAAGCAAATAAAATGCCGATACCAGGATATATTTTTTGTAGGCTTCAGTAACATCCAAAAAAGATCAGTCTTAGAATCATTTATTGTTCCAATAATCAAAAACCTCACAGCATTAAAAATTTACACAAATTTATAAATAATGTTTACATAGGTACATAATAAGCGATACGTGCATACACAACAATCATATATTAATACAGAAAAATAAGTATTCAGGGAAAGTTGCTACCAAATTTTGTTTTTGGGTTTTTAAAATGGAGAGCTCAAACGTATACTTTAACTGGAATGAATTCGCTACTGAGGGAGTGAATGATTTTTCTGCGAGACACGTCAACGTTTGAATGTATTTACCTTCATTTGGCGAGCAATATAGAGAATATAACCCATCAGGGGTAGCTGGAATCAACCCCAACATGTTTTTTTCAAATGCATCTCTAGGGCTTGCGACCCCTCATTGGAAAGCTGGTTGAAAGAGGAACCTAGGGTACTGATCATTCTTCAGTTTGCAGTAGTTACCTACATCACTCTCTCCGCTAACGAATTTATTCCAGTTGAAATCTCCACACTTTATAACTCAATTGGATTCATTGACCCAAAATATGGCTCAACAACAGATCTAGTCACATTAAAAACAACGAAAAATGCTGATAAACATACAAACACGAAAATTACAGAATGATGGTCAGTATAAAATGAGTATATCAAAAAATTATATATCACAAATAGTTCAAAATAAATGACCTGCTCTGGTCATACAGCAAAGGCAAAATATAGGTACTATACTTAGCTATACAATACATCATGGAAATTTCCAAGGTATCCGTGTTCCCTATCTATCATTTCAAATGGAATATCTTGTGAAATTAACTACGCTTATACTTATTGCTAACGTTTCGATATCCTGATGTATGGAGTTATGCACAAAATTTCAATTACCCCTGTCAGTGCCTCTTGGCCAGTGGACATAAAGGTTAACGTAGTATCAATTCTCGGTATCAACTCATTACAATTAAAATTTCCACTTTTGATCAATTATGAGGGAATTACGGTGGATAAGTGCAATGAGCTTCACTGATAATTTTATAACTTCAGCTGCAATCTGAGGTCTCACCTAAAAGCGGAATCAGCGGCCATTATTTACAACGATAACATATCTGATACCTATGTTCATTACGCCATTTTATGAATTTGATAGACTTTCCAGAAAATATCAGCACTTGACAATTATACAGTAAAAAATCGCTCGAACTAACTTGATCAATAAATATTATTCACTACGTACATAAAAACTGTTGGTGTCTTCATTTAGTAAATTCAATTCAATCATATATATGAACATTACCTCGCTAATAAGCTGAAAAATAACTCCCCAAAGTGAATTCTCTCGGGCGTTATTCAAATTAATGGTATGATTGAAGGTCCCATCAAATGAGGGTTACTTTTGCAGTCTCACCACTCACCAGCTGACTTTACACTCACAGGTTACACCAGAGCGTGAGGTCAATATCCTGGTCAAAGTCAAAATCCCAGAATTTTGCGGGATAGCCCTGAAGGCTGTGGCCGGTTTCATTCAAAATATTCTGTGTGGCCTATGTTAACAAATAGGAAAACTCAATTTATTGTAAGACTAGCTGAGGAAGTATTATTTTTTTCATCTCTTGGGGCGCAAGAAAGGGAATCCCTATAATGTTCGGAGAACATCGTGCGTAGCTGGGTACGATAGGGAGAGAAGGCCAGACAACAGGATGAAGAGAAGTTGGTGCAGAAACTCCTATCAAATCTCATCTACTGCTTTTCGATCAAAGTTCTTGACCTACGGCCTAGCTACTTGACAGAAGGATTCTTTTCAATATCGCGGAATACAGGTCGCATTTTACCCGTTAGATGGCAAAATCTCAAGCGAAATTCGAGGTTGGTAGAACTGATGATTAATTAAAATTCCCCAAAATTACAGTTTCGTACTTTCAAATTTAATCTCATTTGATTTGAAGTTTTGTTATGAATGTTATATTATTATTTCTGGTGCAAGCGGTGTGTAAGCGCCGTTTTCTGTTTTCTGTCATGAAAGAAATCTGTAAAAAGTATCGCCATCTTGCGGAGTACTGAGAACTAATATGCCATTATTGCGGAATCTGCGGTCAAGCGAAATCGGGGGAAACAAAACACTGTCTGTAATCAAACCGTTTTCACCTTGCCCTACAATAAAATGAATTGGTCTATTAAAAAAAAATATTAAAAAAAAATTACTGAGATGGAACTCTGAACAACGCAGTGATAACTTTCATCTGGTTGGATTGAAAAAGATAATTTTAACTTTCCGCGGTGCTGTATTTAAACTGTTTACTGTTGTTTTTTCTTTCTGGGAAATCGCTCGGAAGTCAGAGCCATACATTCCAATCTGTCAACAGACATATGAAAAAAATCCCGAGTATTTTAGCATAGCTTTTTGAAATTACCATATTAAAAGACGGAATTTTTTACTGAGATTGAAATATCATTCATTCATTGTAGCTAACATAAAATGTTGTACACCACTAGCTTGCATTTGAAGAAGGTGCCGAATTTTTTTTGAAATATAAAGCTTCATTAATATCATGAAATAAATAGCTAGGTTACCAAATACTATAGAATATGAGCCCATTCTGAGAAGCAATTTGAAAATTGCTGTGGTTTGTACATCTTAAAATAAAATATCACAGTTAAATAAAATTAATAAACATAAACTTTAAAAAATACAGAAATCTGGTTAATCAATTCTTTGCACTTAATTGATTTTCATCAACTGGAAACTAGAATACATTGTATGCGTAAATGTAGCAAAATAAAATAAAACACTACTAACAGTTTTAGAAATAATAAAACTATAAAATAATCTCATTTCCTTATAAATCTTTGTGGTTGGATGATCATTATTGAATATATCTGGCCTTCAATATTACTTAATCTATCAATCTACAATGTTAAAGCATCTGATTGAGAAGAGTAAAGACAGGAAGAAACTGTTTCACAACAAAAATCAATGCATCCAATAAATATTACGACTGGGTATTTGAGATTTCAAATCTGTCAGAGCAGAAACAAAATAGTAGATGTTTTATTAGGATCAAATGTCACCCTTTTTTTGACAAGCGTCAAGAGTCACTTTTGGTCCGAATAAAACATGCGATTTTTTCTGCAATCGAAATAATTGATGAAATATGAGTGGAAAAAACTATTATTTTCAGTCACTCCAGCATGTCTGTGTCAAAGCAGCTACCATATCCGCTGTCATCCGACACGTTTTTAGTTCCTGGGAGTTAACCTTAAATTTTTACTCCCAGACACTAAAAGTGTTGCCTAGTACCATACATACTAACCATTTTATTGTGTCAGTAAGAGAAACGTCAACTTCAAGAGCTGATTTGAACCAAAAATGGACGACTTTTGAGCCGATTGCAGAAAAAGGATTATATTTGCAGTACTTCCCACCCTCCTCTCCTCAATCTCAAATTAAAGCTGTTCAGAGAGCAGTGATTCTTAATCATAGTAACCTATCATCGCTATTAAAAACAATGTACAAACACGACTACATACTGGGTGATTGACTATGGATGTCACAATTTCAAAGGAAGATATCTTGAAACCTATCAAAGATATTTGGAACCTCAAAACAGAACCTTGGGAATATGAGATGTTATTAATTTGAAAAAATTGAAACCATTCAGTTAATTGCATACTATTTTTTTGCTGATGAAAATTATGATTATGAAATCCTTTAGTTCATAATAATCCAGGCTTGCTGTGGTTGACCAGAAACCAAACAATCAATAAGAAGACCAGATGTCAAGATATTGTTGCCCAAGATATAGACTCATTACTTGTTTCATATGATCCAGTCAGTCAGTCCTTCAATTTTTCAATGGGATATATGAAAATAAAACCCCTAATATTATGAAACTTCCTCAAAATATGGAAAAAATATAAGGTATTCTATTCAAATAGAAAAAAAAAAAATAATTCAAAGGAAAACATCCCATTCCGATTCTGTTTTGATATTTTCTTGTGTGCTCATCAGTTTCTCAAATATTATTTATAGAAATCGTGAATCATCAATCCTCATTCTTAGTGGTGATACAATTCATTTTGAACCCTCCCAAGGCCGTGCCCAGGGACGATCCGAGGGGGTGTAAACCCCCCTCCCGAAATGACGACATAAATCCGACTCTCTAAAAAAGACTTCTTTTTTTTCATTGGACCACCCTCCCGAAAACAAATCCTGGGCACGGCCTTGCCATCCTGAATTTTCCTGTCAAAAGAGCTATGAAAAAATTGGAAAAATGTTTCATGGTGTCATATGTATTTTTTCTGGAAACCACTAGAGAACAATTTTGTCCAAATGGAATTCAAGTATATACAAGTTGAACCATGAGAAAATGCTGTTAAATGCATTGGAAATAGGAAATGTCTCAATCACCATATATTACCAACCAAAATCAAAACTACAATGCTAATAATGAAAGTTGTCAGATATGATCAGCAGAATATTACTGCTCTTTGGTCAGTATCAAGCTTTGAAATAATGCATATCTAGAACATCTTCAAGGTTTAATATGTCAAAAAGTATAACCTATATTTCTATTTAGAAAGAGTAATCCTAAAGGAAATATTGCTATACCGGGTGTCACTGGAGGTAGGTAACTCGCTGTTACTTTCATTAGTTTGTTGATCAAATATCCTTATTGACATTACATAATGTATCTGCAAATTGGTGTATTCAGACATATGATGAATAAACGACAATCTGGTCAATACTATTCAGATCTTGTTGAAGATTGGTGAATCAACAATATCGATATAATCATAATATATATAACAAATCCAATTCTGTATCCTGTTTGGACAGTAACTGCAAAATTGGTTCAAGTGATAGCAATATTTTTGGAAAATAATGAGTTTTGAACTGACAACACTCTTTTCAACTCGTATGTCAAGTGTTAAGGTGGATTTATGCAGCAACATTCAACAATTATCAAGCAACATTTATCAATTAACAATTATCAATTTACAAGTTATGAGAATATTGACATTTATGCAAACCAAATCAACAATTAATGAATTGATAGTACGCAAGCGCATATGCCCTAAATCTGGACTATCAAAGCAATAATCTTACAAATTCGTTGTTTACAATTTACATCAGGAGCTAAAATTTCGAATTTCATAATGTTTTCTGATCTGGAAGAGACTGGGTTACTTTCATCCACAATTAGTCTGTTTATTGCAATTGTTTTATCCTTCCTTCCTTCTTCTTAAGGGTGAAGCTGCACGTGAATGCGTCTAATCCTGTGATCATCACTTCCTCCCTGTGGTAACATGCAACATTATAGGGCCATAATTATTAAAGTTTCCTATTTATGGATTTAAGGTACATAGAAACGATTAGAGCAGAGTAAGCAGAGGGGTTTCTAAGCAGGTCTTCTACTGATAAAGCGGAGAGGATTGGGGTACTGTGACGGGCTATCATTTTTTTGTACAGTATATTTGAGTTGTATATGTGGTTAGGGCATTCCAATAAAATGTGTTGTAGACTTCCAGTCATACCACATTCGCATCTTGGTGAGTCTTTTATTTTGATCTTGTGAAGGTGTTCCGGTGTGAGACAGTGTCCGGATCTCATTCTACACATTGTGGAGGAGATTTCTCTATTGACTTCTATCGTGTGGAACCAGGGTTTTTTCGGAAATGTTTCTAGAAGGTTGAATAGGGTTTTCCCTTTAATTTCGCATAGTTCAGTCCATGCCTCGGTCCAGGCCTCTTGTATTCTCTCCTTGACTCTAGGAAGAAGGTCTCTATAGTCTAGCTTCCTGTAGTCCACCCTTATTTTACTTGTGCTTAGCTTGGCTACTTGATCTGCCTTGTCGTTTCCTGGTATATTTGTGTGGCTAGGTATCCATCCCAGATTGAATTTAATTTTGTTTTGGGCTGCATTTCTTATCAAGCTTCTTGTAATGAGAGTTGTCTGAGTTGGGGTTAATACCAGTCCTAGCTAGTTTTTGAAGCGAGCTTAGCGATTCTGTTAGAATAAAGGGCTTTTCAATTTCAAGTCAATTGCTTTTTTACCGCTGTCGCCAGTCCCAGCAATTGTTTTATGTTGAAACAAATTTCATAACATCTGTCAGATATCAGGTCTGACATTGGTCTGACCAATCCATGCCTTCTCTTCCAGTCGATGAAACCAATCCGCGATCATGTGCGTACTAGAAGAAAACCTGGTTTCATCAAAGTGAGAAAGTTGAAAGTTGGCCAACACAATGATGCTGCATAAATCCACCTTTAGGTACCGTTAGTGCCATTATTTTTCGAAGAAGACTTTAAGTTTATCTAGACACCCCAATTAGTTTGCACTGACATAATACTTAAAATTATATCATTCGAATTAGCAGATTGTTGGTATATGCTGAATTTGGTAGTAGTTATGCAAGTGATGCAAAATTATGTCCCGAAATAAAAAAATATCGAAATTCCGATTCTTATCACCAAAAAATACACGTTGCTGACCTATTCAAGCAAGATAGCTTGATAAACTTTTCATAAGGCAACTCAAATTGCTAGTGTCTCTTATCACATAATATGACGAAATTGTTGTCTCATAATTCCTCTACAAATTGAAACTTCTATTTTCTTAATTTCCAAACACTTGAAAGACATTGTAGTGCAAAAACAAAGGATGTAGCCGAGATAGCAAAACACCGTCAACTGACAAGATGTTATCGAAATTGACAGATCATATTGCCCAAAATGATTAGAATTCCAATTCTTCAAATATTGCTATGATAGCAATTTTTTCTACGACCATTTTGCTATTTGCAAACAGAATCGACCCACTCGAATGAATGATAATATAGAAATATTAGCCTTGATAAGTACGTTCAAATTTCGAAAAAATACTTCGAGAGAAACAAATTTGGTTGGTAGGTAACCTGTAGATCAGTTTGGCTTCTGCATGATAACAGTAAGTAATTTCCAGTGAATAAAAAAGAGAAATCTGTCCAATGGGGAACTTCTCTCCAAGTAACTTAAAAACCTCTACCAATGCAACAGTATGGACGTTTTATTACTCAAATGGCTTTATTTTGATGAAACCTGATTGAAGGAGTCTACTCAGCTCACTTATGGAAGTTTTTCAGAGGAAAAATTCATTTTCGTAAACTCCAATTCTGATTAGTTGAAAATGATGTTGCTTTCATTCTGAAATATGTCAAATCATCTTCAATTTCATTACTTGTCACATTCTTGTTACCTATCTAAGATTATTTTATTTATGGACAACACTTGTATTTATCATTCAGAAGTTTGATCGTTGCAGTAGGAAGAAGGAATATATTTCATTAGAGTGCTAAAAATCGATCCAGACATGACTTTGTAAGAATGAAATAATGAAGTATCAACCTTTTCCTAAAATGAAGAATAGCCCAAGGAAATGTCTACGATTCGATGAAACCATATCTGTGTGGAAACGAAGAAATTACAACCGATATCATAAAAGGGAACACTAGCATACCTATGTAATAATAAGCATTTTCCTAGTAAAAAAATAACAATAGGGAGAAGAAATCATTCAATAAATACTCTCAGAGCTTACACGGATCACCTTGGATAAAAACTGGTCATAGTTTCGAATAATAGAGATACATATCACAAATCTCGGAATATAACAATATCAAAATAATATACTTACCTTTATTCGAATAATTAGACACAGTTTGTTTAACTCTAGCTGGAATCACAAGAGTATTCGAACATCTCAATATTTATTATAGCATGAGATATTATGGGTAGTGGGGAAATATAAATGAATAACCATAGATATGAAGACCTAATAACATTGTTATGTTGATTACCATTACGATGAATCGAGAGTAGCCCTAGACCAGATAACTTTGGAACCCTCACATCCAGTTTATTATAGTTTTGCAGGTTTCTCATGAGAGTTTCTTGATCATTCATTATTCGAAGTTCGAACGTAATTCGAACTTACCGATTTAGTGATTCATTGATATACCGTTTTTTACTCGTGATTTTACTGACACTATTGAAAATATTGACATTTCAGTATTTACTATTGACGTACCGCAGATCCAACATGATTTTCAACCGGTCAGATTTGAAGTTCACAAAAACTCATTTTTCTTCTGAATAACTTCCATTAGAGATCTGAGTAGACTCCTACGATCAGATTTCATAAAAATGAAGCTATTTGAGAAATCAAACTTGCATAATATTGCTTCTACATTGGTAGAGGTTTTTAGGTTGGCATTTTTGAACGAAGTCCCTCATTCCGCATTGTTTCTTTCAAAACTTTTTAATAACTCTTTCAACGGAACATTCAAGTGTAAAGGTGGATGGAGAGACCAAACATAGTCAATCAATTCCGCCAGCCGATCAGTCTTCACCCCATCACACCGTCGTACCGTACGTGCAGAACACCACCCTGGTGCTGTCGCTGTCCAACGTGACGTCCTCCGGGCTAGCCAGATCCACGCGCACGCTTCCCGAGTCGGTGCGCTTGCGCTGGCCCCAGTTGCTCAGCGTCCAGCGGTGGGCGGTTCCGTCTGCAGAGCTCCGCCCACCTGTAGCGGAGGGGGCGGGGCGCGGGCTGTCGGGCGGGTCGTCGGAGCTCGAGCTGGGCGTGTCGAGGGAGTCGGGGCCGCCTTTGAACCTGCCGATGCCTGCGGGAGGGGGAGAGGAATGGGGAGTTAGTTATACCACGGATTAATAGTACATTATGGCGCTTCCCTTGGACCCAATGACAATTTTTTTCAACCACCTGTTTGATTGGAAGTAGATTTTTTCAAAAAGCATCCTTTATATTTTTGTAACCTTTTTTATTAGCCTTGATATTCTTTATTCAACCATTTATCACAATTTGATATTCGTTCATTGATTGCCTGTTGAATTGCATTTTATTGAAATACATACAGTTGGCTGTGACCCGAATACAATGATATTTCGATGCTTTATAGGCTTAGAAATCCAAAGATCTTTACTTAGACGATATTATCAGAATATTTTTCACACCCTAATCGTTCCCAGAAAATTGCCAATGATTGAATATATTATATCCATGGTATACAAGTTATGGACACGTCGTACAAATAAACAGAACCATTACAAACAAAGAAAGTACAAGTGATAAAATCGAATGATATTAAAATAGCACCAGTTGAAATCAACTCACTGAAGTGAAAAGATATATTGCTATGGATTCTATCACAGATTATACATTCCCCATTATAGTCATGAATGTCTGAGTGTGTAGTGGATGTATATAATTTTTTTAAACATGTATGATATTTTTATAGAAAATTAGTGAGTGTAAGGTCATAATACCTAACTCTTCACAAAATGGTAGGCTATGTTCAGTATAATGAACCTTTGCCGCTTTTTGTAGTGTAAACACTCGTTGTAGGTGTCTGAAGCTTGAATTACCCCATAACTGCAACACATAGCATACCTCTGTTTTTGTCTCATCCAAGAATAATTCATCATTATCAAACCATTGTTTTGCATCGGCAGCGACGTCTGCTGCAAAATCGTCAATATCTGTTGTTCAAAATAGTTCTTTGAGTTTCAACTTGAATGTCTTCATGGGCGAACCCTGCATGCTCTAGCTCGTTACCACCGATACAACAAGGCCTGCATGCTCCGTGGGTGACGTCACTTAGTGAGGCCTAACCAGCGGCTCGAAACCACAAGCGCTTATAGCGCTATAAGGCGACCGCGTATTTCGATTTTAGTTTTGGATCATCATTGAGCCGATTTTGCTGTTTTTTTGAAGGGCTTCCGGTTAAAAAAGGATGCCAGTCGTCAACTGAGCCCTTCTTCGCACCCCATTCGATTTTATTATGGAAAAACGGAGTTTTAAAGCAAAAACCAGGATAAAACACAAATATCCACCTACAGCAACCCATTCGAATTAAATATATTGTCAAAAATTGTGGTGAAGGTAAACTTCACACCTACTTATACAGGGCCCGCAGAACATAAACTTATCGTGAGATTGATCGAAAGAAAATTGTGGAAAATGTATTTTATTTTGATTGACATGCCGTTTGTTACAATTACCTATATTTATCTTGGAGAATTCCTTTTACCTGAAAAAATAACCAGTGGGTGTTTTCAATTTTCTGTTGTTGGATTTTTCACCCAAGTGGATCGTTACACTTGAAACCGTAATTTTTAAGGGTAAAACTGCATTTATTATGTAATATCAAGGACTTATAGAATAATCACATTGTATAATTAGATCAGTCCTCACAGTGTATATATGAAAGAACTAGTTTCCATGGAGAAGAAAATAATATTAGTCTTGTAATATATCAGAAGAACTCGACTTGTATTTCTATATATTGATAATAATATCAATCTGATTACATATGGCGCAGTCGGATCAAAACCAAGGACTTACAGAAATACCTATACAGGTCAATTATGACCAAGTTGGAGCAGGAGATGTCCAAGACAGAATTATATTCGGAAAATCTGAATTGGATAATCTCATGTCAAAGTGGATGTCAATTGCAAATCAAAATTTGAATAATACAGAGATATCAAAATTCGATGGTGTTGGAGAAAATCCTAATACTTGGCTGAATTCTTACGAGTTCATGTGTTTATCGAAGAATTGGAATACCAATGCAGATAAGATATTCCATCTGAGAAGATTCTTAACAGGCATAGCCTCCGGTTGGTATGAAGACAGGATCCATTCTGGATTACAGATGCTTACCTGGGATGATTGGAGACTAAACTTGATTGATACCTTCGATGAAACATTCATTGTGAAATGGGAAAAGGCCTTGTCCCACACTTATTCTAATGGGAATATCGTTGAATACTTTTACGAGAAACAGAAATTTTTAATATGGGCCGATGAAAAGTTGTCAGAAAAATCAATGATTGCACTCATCATTCTAGGACTACCAACTCATATACGAAATCAATTGAGTGGAAAGATAATAAAATCTAAACAAGAACTTTTGCAGTCTTTAAAGTTCTTGAAAGTGGAGATGACATCAGCAACTTCTAATCAAGAAAGGCAAAAGGGGAATTTTCATAGAAATGCAGGAAGCTTTGGAAACTCAAGATTCGATAAAAAACCTAATTATTGGGATAAGAAGGGTGACCAGTCTTCCATTTCCGGATACCAAGATAGAAATAGGAGTGTTGAAGATAAATCCTGCAATGTTTTGGAAACTGAAGTAAATGATACTGAAATCTACATGAGTTATTCTGTTCATGATGATATCAACAAGCAAAATTTTGAATACCTGAAAGTCAATAACGATATGGTAAAAGTGTTATTTGATACTGGATCAGATCTGGATCTAATTAACGAAGAATTGGTTTTGAAAAACGGATTTCCTAGATATGAAGCAAACATTTCTATTAGAAGTTTGGCAGGTGTTACTAAATGTTACTACAGATCTGAACTTAAGATAAATCTGAAAGGAGAAAACATTTTGATTAAGCCTTTTATAATAAAAAAATTATGTTTTGGAATCATCTTGGGGCGGGAAACCCTGAATCAACTGAACATTTTTAATAGGAATTTAAATTGCCGAGATACACCTTCAGAATTAAATGAAAAAATTATTGCAGAAAGATTTCCAAATCTATTGAATTATCATGACAAAACTCCATCCATATACCAGGTTGATTTCAGTTTGAAATCTGACCCAGAGGTTGTAAAATTGAGGCCTTATCGATATCCAATTAATAAAAGGGAATGGATTAGAAATAAAATAAGTGAATTACTTGAAATTGGTATAATTGAAAAGTCAAATTCACCATATGCTTCGCCGTGTGTCATGAAGACGAAAAGTGATGGTAGTTTTCGCTTATGTATGGACTACAGGAAAATCAACAATGAAACTGAGCTGGATCCCTTTCCATTTCCTATGGCAGATGAAATTATCGAGAAATTCGGTGGATGCAACTTCTTTACAAAACTAGATTTGAAGGATGGCTTTTGGAACGTTAGTATTTCTGAAGATACAAGAAAGTACACTGCATTTGTCACAGAAGAAGGACATTACCAATTCACTCGCCTTCCATTTGGTTGGAAAAACTCTAGCGCAAAATTTCAACGTGTAATGCAGGATATTCTTGGGGACTTGCTGACAAAAAAGGTGGTTGTATTTATTGACGATATTATGTGTGGCGGATACACCTACGATGAATGTGCTATACTGAGCGAAGAAATATTGAAAAAGTTGCACGAAAGTAATATGAAGATTAATCTGAAAAAATGTAAATTTTGTGTGGAAAAAGTAGTTTTTCTTGGCCGTGAGATAGACGGTGATGTAAAAAGAATGAAGAATGAGATAGTAGAAAAAGTTAAATCGATGAGAAGACCTCATGATCTGAAATCTTTGCAATGTTTCACTGGTCTCACAAATCAGTTCAGATGTTTTATCAAAGAGTATGGTAAGATTGTTCGACCTTTGGATGAATTGAAACGTAAAAACAAAAAATTCATCTGGACTACTGATTGTGAAAATTCTTTTATTACCCTGATTGATCAAATCACTTCTGATCCAATTTTAAGAATTGCAGATCCCAGATTAAAATTTGAACTAACAACCGATGCTTCATACTATGGTTGTGGAGCTATTCTGTATCAAAGGGATAGTGAAGAAGTGAAAAATCGACAATTGAGAGTTATATCTTACTATTCATACACATTCACAAAGAGTGAGCAAAATTATTCAGTGACGGAAAAAGAATGCCTAGCTGTAGTGAAAGCTGTCAAGTATTTTCGAACCTATTTGGAAGGAAAACATTTTATTGTCAACACTGATCATCGAGCCCTGAAATATGTTCTAACAACTGGAGATCTACGGGACCGTTTAGCTAGGTGGCAAATTTTTCTCAGATGTTTCGACATGGATATACATCACAAATCTGGAAAAGAGTTGCAGGATGCTGATGCCATTTCTAGGCTTTGCATCAAAGTACCTGAAACTGTTTCAGATACATTTTGGTGTAACTTGAACGTTGAGGATCTGGAAAAAATGACTGATGGAAGATATTTGGTGAAGACAAATGAAATGAAAAAAGAAATTTTGGTATCATATCACGATGATCCTGATTCTGGAGGGCATGATGGTTATTTTAAAACCTATTACAAAATTAATAAAAGATTTTATTGGAAAGGAATGAGCAAGGACGTAAAATATTACATAAAAACATGTGATATTTGTCAACACGTCAAGTTCAAATTTTTGCCAAAACCTGATTTTGTTCATTATACTCATCACTCACAAAATTCCCATGAGACTATTCACATTGACTTTGCTGAATTATCAAAGAAATCTGATTTGAACCGAACAACAAAATCATTTATCGTTGTTATTGATGAGGCAACCAGACACATATCTGCAAAATCTTTGAAAGAAAGTAGTGTAGCTGTGAAGAATTACTTAGATCAATTACTATTCATAGATAAAGTTAAAAATGTCGTTACTGATTGTGGCTCAGCTTTCACATCAGAATTGTTTCATGAATGGGCTTCTTTGCGAGATATCAATGTAATCCACACTTCCCCATATCATCCAGCAGGGAATGGTTTAGCTGAAAGAGCTGTGAGGGACTTGAAATCATTCATGAATTGTTATGAACACTTCAAAGGCGGCTGGAAGAGATGCTTGGAGGCTGCAGTTCGTCATCATAATTACTCCCACAATGAATTTCTTGGCTGTTCACCTAATTTTAAACTGTATAGAAAAAGTACTATTTTGAATGCTGATAAAAGGTTGGGAATAGTATTTTCTGTAACCGAAAATCCCAAAACTTTCGAGGAGCAGTGTGTATATAAAAAAAAAAATACAGGACCAAGCTAATAAGAGGAACAAACTTAGACCACCGAACCTTAAAATTGGAGATTGGATTTTAATGAGGAATAATAAAATTGGAAAGAATTTTTCGATTAAAGGACCATTCAAGATTACGAAAGTGAAATATATGGATAGTATTCCTGTGTATGTTCGATTTTTGAATAATTCAAAAGAAGAAACTGCCCATATATCGAACATTAGACCATTTTATCACAGGAGTGATAATTATTTGGGGGGAGGAAATATGTAATATCAAGGACTTATAGAATAATCACATTGTATAATTAGATCAGTCCTCACAGTGTATATATGAAAGAACTAGTTTCCATGGAGAAGAAAATAATATTAGTCTTGTAATATATCAGAAGAACTCGACTTGTATTTCTATATATTGATAATAATATCAATCTGATTACATATTATGCGATGGTTTTTTTTTTGAAATTTTTTTCGGTACTCACGTATTTTTGTCTTATAAACCGATTTTATAATGAAACCACTATTTATTGAGATATTTCAAGAAAAAGTTCGAAATTTCGCCTTCTTTCTCCCCTTGTGTTGGGGGCATTTGAAGCTACTTGCTCTTATTTTGTCATTGGACACTTTATTATATACTCATGATGTACTTCGATGGCACATTTTTATATAGAAAATTCAACAGGAAATATGATTTTTATGGCGAGTTTTTCATATTTAGTGAACAAGCATTCCAGATGACGACCATTTAATCAATAGTCAATCAAAATACGAGATGTCAAATGACATTATACACGCCATTATTTTGAATGATATTTGTCCTTCTTTTCACTAAATATGGATTAATCTCAAGAAAATCATATTTATAGTTGAATTATATATAAATTGTCCAATATGATGAAAAAAGAAGGGACATTTGTTCTAAATGCCATCCAGAAGACAGATGAAAAAGAAGGTGAAATTTGGAACTTTTTAATCAAATATCTTCATGATAAATATCATGATAAATGCAGTTTTACCTTTTTAAGTAAAGTGTTTGTAGTTCATGTTGATATGATAGTTGCAATTTGATCATTGGAATGAATTCTGCATTCAGTGCCACGAGGCAAATGACCTTTTTCAGAAAGAAATTTGAGAATGAGAATTAAAAATGCCCGTTTATTATGAACATTCAAGAAAATTTCCTCGAATTCAGAGATGATTTTGTTGACTATAATATACGAATACAAAACTAACTGCACAATCAAAGCTTTTCTATTTTTCCTCTACTTATACTTTTTATGAGAGAGTAATTGTCTTCTATTATTAATTCATCATTATAAATTAAGCTCTGTTTACTACTGAACTTAGATGGAGTAAAATCTTCGCGGTGAATTGCATATACCCACATTTTCGATAGCTCCTCGTCCAACGGGAAATTAAAAGCATGAACTTTTGAACCACCCACATAATTTCCCCGACAAAAGGGAACACAACATTTGAAAGGCATTGTTATTTCGCCGATCACAACACAAAATATTTCACAAAACAGTAATTTTTCCGCCAATTATTTTGAATACGTGAATCACCGATGAATTAACACGAACTGACGCGTTAGTCCACAAGCGATAAAATAAAACACTGGCCTCTCTTGGTGACGTCACGAGCTGTTTACGTCAGTCTGCTGGCCTTGTTGTATCGGTGGTAACGTCTAGCTCCGAATCATCAACTTCGTTGGCTTCCTCGAAAGGCCTCCAAAATGCCATAATATTTTAATTGCGAATAAGAATACGTATCATCTTAAAAAACGGAAGTGTTTCAACTGACTTTGTAAAGACTATACATCATGGGGAAATAGTTTACTATCAGATTGATGACAAAAATCGCACTTACCACTATCGTCTGGAGAAGCATGACTCTCTTCGATCCCCCTCAATATGCTCTGGCAAATATCAGACTCTAGGGGAATAGGATCGTCCGAATCTCTATTGTTAACGGTGACAGCAATGTGAGCGGGATGGGGTATAGGAAGCGGTATCACCATTTTATCGGGCGAATATGGACGGCTGTGCTTCTTCCATGGCATCCACAGGATGGTTTTTGTGCTTCTCTTCAGAGATCCCGGCATGGCAGACACGTCTCTGAAACGGGAGCTTGTCACTTACTTCAACAAGACATTTTGCGAGGTGATCGGTTAGAATATAACAAATGAAGTGAAGGCAACTCATGATCCCCTTGATATCATGAACTCTGTTGAATTGAATGATGAATTCCAATTGAGAGATACCAACATTTTTGAACTGAAATCAGTAATTTATAGTATAAAGAAGAAAAATGCATCAGGAGTTGATGAAATATCAGCGAACGTTTTCCAAAACCTTCCTGATTCAGCATTATCGGTTCTTGTAATGCTCATAAATAAATCATTTCGATGTGGAGAATTTCCTACTTATCTTAAACAATCTATAGTTATCCCTATTCATAAGGGTGGGGATTCATCAGATCCAAACAACTACCGCCCCATTGCTCTTATACCAACGTTAGCGAAAATAATTGAAAAACTGGTTAAAATCAGAGTGTTGGACTACTTAAAGAAAAATAATATATTGACAGAACAACAATTCGGATTCCAGCCAAAGAAAAGCACCAATGATGCCCTGTTTTCTTTCATGAATCAGGTGTACTCGAGCCTCAACAAAGGGGCAGCAGCTGCGGCAGTATTTTGTGATTTCTCCAAAGCTTTTGACTGCGTGAATCACGAAATATTGCTGCGGAAGCTGCAGCGATATGGTTTTATGAATAGGAGTCTGCACTGGTTCGAGACTTATCTCATCAATCGACAACAATTGGTAAAAACTAGCAGCGTCCCAAAGGCATCAAACATAAAGCACGGAGTGCCACAAGGCTCAGTCCTTGGACCAATCCTTTTCCTTCTCTACGTGAACGATATGGCTTCTCTAAATATAAACGGTACAATCACATTATTTGCTGATGACACAACCATCCTTTGGCAAGAAGAGAATAGCTCTATATTAGAATCAAATATAATGCAGGATATAAAGATTATCAAAGATTTGTGTGAATCAAACCTCCTTTCTCTAAATATTAAGAAAACCAACATCCTGACTTTCCATTGCAATATTCCCAACTTGAATATTGGATGTGAGGTGATAGAAAATAAATTGTCTACTAGGTTTCTAGGCTTATTCATAGATAATAAGTTGTTGTTTACAGAACATGTGACAGGTTTGTGTAAAAAACTGGCTTCTGGATGCTATGTTGCAAGAAACATTGCCACGGATTTAGGATCTTCATCTGCTAGAACAGCATATTTTGCCTTAATTGAGTTTCACTTGAGATATGGAATAGCATTTTGGGGGGCCTGCAGTGATCATTTATTCCAGAAGAGTTCTGTTTTGCAGAAACGAGCCCTCAGATATATAGGCCGGGCGAAATCTAGAGATAGCTGTAGGGACTTATTTGAAAATTATAATATTTTAACTGTGGTTTGTTTATAGTGCTAGAGGTACGCAGAAAAAAACCGCATTTCGTATAGAAAGCAAGCAAATTTGCACACATGCTCAGTAGACCTGAATAAACGATTTGGCCCGCAGCACCTACTTTTTTGGGCTTGGGGGTCCGAATTTTGGGGAGAGGGGGGTTAATTCGACGATATATTTTTCAGAAATCGGAATAAAGCTACAGAGATGATCCAGATGTCGATTTCAAATGATATTGTCTTGATAAATTCAATAGTGAGATTCTTTGAGCTCTATGATCATCGGAAAAGCCTCAAAAACCGCCATTTTGGAAAATGGCGTCCGATATCGTGCCATATTAACATGATTGCATGATTCGTGGCGTGTGAGGTATGGTTTTTCATATATCAAGCATGCCTGAAGATGATTGAACCAACAAAATTATGTGGAGAGTATTTTAGTATAAAAATTTCGAAGAAAATTCAGAAAAAAGGTATGCGAATATGCTGAAAATTAGAATAAAGCCAAATTCTTCATGAAAGTGAGACGTTCTCTTATGGAGATTTCCTATTCGACATAGATGAAGCATCGCTCTATGACGAGCATAATGTAATTAAAAATCCGCCATTTTATAAAATGGCCGCCAACACGGCCACCAATAATATTGAAAATTCGCTAAGTGACTTCATGAATGTGAAAAAATCTTGAGCGGCTATGATAAATTAAACATAACTGATTAGCACTTTTCGATGCTGTTAATTTTGGACTTTATTGTTTCAATACAAAAATTCTAGTACCTACATGCGAAAACATTGATATCCAGGGTGGATGTTCAGGTCATATCTAGAAAAAAGAACATTTTAGTTTAGGTATAACTATTTTTGATGAACAAACAAACCTTGATCAATGTTTCAACTAATTTACTCCTCCATCAACCTCCTCCTCTTCATTTTGGTGTGAGTGGGGTTCGGGATGCGTTTGGGTCCTACATCAAGCAGTGATATGAAATAATCTTTCACGCTGGATAATTCGAAGCGACTTACTTTTTATTAGAACATTCCCCTTTGCAACTTGTGCATCCCAGGTAGCACGGTAATATGTTCCTACGGCAGGAACAACGTTTTGTGTCGCATCCAGACTTGCAGCCACATTTATCTAGAGCCCTGCAAGCCGACCAGATCTCGAGAAGCTCACTCCAAAGCGGCACCCAGGTATCTCATTCTTTTTTCCATCCCCACCCTTCAGGGGATGGTGGTAGTGAATTTTCAAGGGCCCTTCCCCAGATATGTCCACTATGGAAAGCAGCTCTCTTTATATGTTGAACGAAAGCTTCCAGGGAAGGTGGAATTGCACCAATATGTTTGTTTTCTGTGGCAAACATGTGCTTCCGAGCCTCATTCACACCGGAGCAGGTCTCGTCACGGATCCCGTACATGTATACCGTGAATCTCTCCAACGTCTTGATGAGATCATCGTCTATGGTATCTTCTAGCATTGGATGTGAGAGCTTCTTGAATGCTAATATAATGTATTTGCGTCTGTTAATGGAATGTAGCGTTTCTTATATAACAGATGAATACATATCAATAGATCACCCAGGAAATATACTTACTTCGAGCAATTCAAGAAAGCATTCCATGCTGACTGTTTTCCTCTCGAACCGAAAAAGGATACCGTGTCACATCCAGTGAAGGCGTGGAACCCTCTGAGTGCGATAGAAGTGTCCTCCCCAAGAACACCAGCGATACCATGCACACTAATGAACCTTCGTTTGAGGCCTGCTCCAAAGTGTAACCACAATTCTCGCAAGCCCTTTCTGTGGAGGGCATGGTAATGAGAAACTGCCAGTACCAAAACGTCTGTATCCGAGCTTTGTATAACTATACAACGGATACCATTCTCCACCATATCATTCACATGAAGCATCAACCTTCCATCTGCTTCTTCCATCGCAGCGCACGAAACACCCTGCAGATACGACTGTGTACCCTCAGATGAGCGTATAACATCATCGACATTAGTTACGACTTCCACATCCTTGAGTTCCTTCAAGATCTCGTTGGCAAGAAATGAGAACAACTCTTGCTTATTGTGATCGTTTCTCAAATAGTCATCCCAGTTAGTCGGTAGAGTACCTGTGAAAACATGTGCTATAGTGGAATTAGACACGGGCACACAAGAGATGAAGAGATATTCAGTATTTTTATAGTTTACCTTTGTTTGGTAGATCCTTACGCCTCACTCCTGTTCCCCTGCTTGACCGAGTGGCCTCTTTAAGACTCGAGCAAGAGTACAGATCCCATGCTATATCCACTCTGAATATTTCCATCTGTGTTCGAGTGTACCCTATATTTGAAATCAGCTGGCCTACGTAGCTCTTGAAGGTTTTCACATCAGGACGAGGCTTGATATTGTGAACTGAGACTGCTCCATCTATGATCAATCCTTCACATCTGTGAGGTGGGTCTACTTCAGGCAACTTCTTGAGCAGATTTTCAAGAATTGCTACGAGCTGAGATTTATTTCCAGTCCGCATAGATCCATTCAACGATAAAGATGGCGGATACAGTTGATTCTCATGCTGGAAAAATATATCAAGGTCCAATTCTCGTGAAATGCACACAATAAAGAGCCGTGAGTACAGTTGCACATCCGATTTCAGAGCTTTCATTGGAGAAGTTGCTGTTTTTTTCTGATGTGTGAATATTTTAGTCATACACTTTCGAATTGGATCATGAAGAGATCTCGACTTCTTGACCAGTCTCTCGTCGACAAAAGACTTGTACATGGATTCGCTCTTTTCCACAGCATCGTACAAGGTCTGAACCGCATCAGTGCCTACAGCAACGCTGGAGTCTATGGCGACAAGTTCTGTTCCCTGAACAGAAAAGGGATTCTCGTACGTCAAGAAAGCGTCCTTGAGTGCTGCAAAATGATCGGCAAATCTTGATTGATAAGATTTTGTCTTTTCATGATGAGTCCTCGAGATTGGAACTTCGTCATCGTCAGCATCTTCTGAATGGTTGAATTCATTCAGAAGTCGGCAGATCTCTGGTCCTCCGATGGTCCAACGTCTCAATGCAGATGGGTCACTAGTGAGACCGACCGCACCACCATTCCCTTTCACTTTGGCATTATTTTGCTCATGGGCATGATCGATAGCAAGATAAGAATCAGGGTTTTCAGTTATGGGCAACACGAACTTTTCTACGACAGAGAAGAGATATTCCAGACAAATTCGATCATACTTGATATAGGTAATGAATTATCACGATATATTGAGACAATACTTACTCAATAAAAATTCTTTATGAATATCAGGGGCTTTGCTGGGTAGCTCTTCCAAGTCCTGGATGTGAACAGTGAGATACCGAGCGTAGTTTTGATGGTCAAAAAGAAAATACCACGGAGCCATTTGTTTCAGAGTTTCTCTAAATGAATCAAAGTCACTCCGCCTCAACGATCGCACAAAACATAGGAGGAGAATTTCAAGGTTCAAGACAGTGAGCCAGAAGTAAAATGCAATGACTTTGTGATTGTTTTATGTTATTCATTTTCTACATAGTAGTATCCGAAGTTATTGTGATTATTCAACTGTTATTTTGCTCATTTTTTTTCATACCACGTGATAAATTTCATATATATTTGCACGTCAACAATGTTTTTGATTATTCTTTTCTTATATGTCAATTTTTTCATGGATCATTTATCTTAATATGTTTCATTATACTTTTTTTCTGGCAGTCATATTACAAAATGGAGGCTTTCAAACAATTTAGGTAGATAATGCATTATAAACACAAGTGGGACTATTTTAGTAGAAAACTCCACTTCAATAGCGCCTATATAGATTCATAATGTGATTTTGAAAATACTCGCACACCTTTCAAACCGCATTTCATGAAAATCTTGGGAATGACCTTGGGATAATTTTTTGGTAAATTCTTACACAGAGACCCCTGAAATATGTAAATCCATACCTCACTCGGCTCGAATTATGCAAGCTTCTCAATGGTACCATACCAGGCGCCATTTTCCAAAATGGCAGCTTTTTGAGACACTTCCAGTGAACCGAGAGCTGAAAGGGTGCCACCATTATATTCTTCAAGACAATTTAATATGGAATCGACATCTGGATCATCTTTATAGCTTCATTTTGATTTTTTTCAAATCATCGTGGAATGAACCCCCCCTACCCCCTGAAAATCGAACCCACACACCCAAAAAAATGGGTGCTGCGGGGCAAATCGTTCATTTGGGTATCAAGAACAAGTGTGCAAAAAATTTTGCTTTCTATACGAAATGCGGTTTTTTTCTGATATTTTCGGTGTACCGCTAGCACTATTATACATATTAGAAACAGCGTCTCTAATTCAAAAAAACAAATATGCCTTACAACTTGTCTCGTCACGATACAATACAAGGCAGAATGGTCAAATTAAGTTGATAAGACCCCGAACCACTATGGTCAAGAACTCGATCATTTATAATGGAATAAAAATATTCAATCACCTTCCAACTGAGATCAAAGAAATATCATGTGATAAAAAGTTCCGCACTAAAGTCAAAGCACTACTCGTCCAAACTCCACTCTATAGCCTGGATGAATATTTTTCATTGGAGTTTTGATTTACTGAATGGGTATAACTTTTTTGAATTTGAAATGAAGTTAATATATTTTCAACTAGGTAGACATAGCTCTATACGAGCTTTTGAATGTTGTTTGTTATTTGTCATACTATTGTCGTACTTTGTGTTATTTATTTTCATGTAATTTAACAAGCTTTGTCAACAAGTGTGTTTTTACTTATGACAATAAAGCATATTTTGAATTGAATTGAATATATATTCAGTTTTGTATAACCACTTACTCGTTCTTGTCGGTTTTCTTTCCAGTAGGAGATGATTTCGATCTAGGATTGAATGCAGATACATCCAAATACGGCGAATGCACCTGGATATTTCCCCTTGGAGTGTATACATTCCCCAACAAATCTGGACCACCTGCACCTGTATTTAAATTACACATGATAAAAATGAATTCATTTTGTAAAAGAATGTTGTATGATATAATTTGCGCCAAGAGTTTCAAACATCTGTAAATATTCAGATACAACCATAATTTTTCTTTGAGACAAATTACACATTGAAGAAATCATTGACTGATTTTTTTTTTAACCAAACTGGGTGGAACAATGGCAAGTGTGGAATGACTGAATAAATCACCCTGCATGGATACATATACGACCATCTCTTCAATTATGTTCTTGTCAAAAATCAATCTAGTTCAATAGTATTTTTACTTGAAAAGTTATGGGGTAGTTTAGTTTTATTTCGTTTCATACGTATTATCGGGTACTGAATTCGAATCTGAACAGAATCATAATCTTCTACCACAAAAACCCCCAGATACCATCAATTTTGAATAGAATCGGATTATAACAACAAAACTCGTCCGCCGTATTGGATTCGCCATCTTGAATTTTCAAATGTTGACGAAAAAATAATAATCTCCGACCCCGAAAGCCACCAGATACCAATTTTGAATAGAATCGGATCCTAATTGCATAACTCGTCCGCCATATTGAGTTTTAAAATTTTGACAAATGGACTAATTTTTTTTTGTTACTTAAATAGAATATTTTTTCAGAATTTTTCGTTCGATTTCAAGGTGCTTAAATCAACAATAATGCCACGGTAATTTTCAAACGGCTAAACATTTACCGCGAGTAAAATCTGACGTCCGGATTTCGTAAGTAGGCACAGTTGCCATATGTTGAAAAACGATAAGAACTTCAATTTTGTATTGGTTATATTCTTAATTAGACATAAAAAATCAATTGTCTCAAAATATTCCCTTATGATTTGTGGCTTATTGCTCATAATAAATGTGTTGATAATAATATTATTATATCAATTTACACTACAGGACATTTGATGGGAAACGTAACAACACGTTATCACGAATTGTGGGCGGTGACTTGTCAGTTTTCAGCTTTTAGCACATTTTTGCCAAGTCTTCAAAATCAACATGATATTCTGGTATGGAGTAGACATGATGATAGTTCGAAAAAGTAAAGAATGAACTATTATATCATGGCTTCCTTTTATTATGTTTTATCTCGTGTTTTATTCAACAAGAGGACTATAATCTTTTTGATAAATTGATTATAATTGGTGACTTGACAACCTTGCTTCATGAGTGGAGATGGAAGATTATCTGACCAATAAGGAAACAGCATAAAACCTGAAGCTACCATTTACTCGACGTATAGCCAAATGGCAGCCGTGACGGTACGTTTGAAATGAGCTCTGAAATTCAACAATTTTGAACAACGCATACTTATTATTAACATAAAATAAATTGAAAGTAAAAAAAAATAATGCAAAGATTTTATTAAAAAGCTATGAAAAAAATAAATTAAAATGTTTCTTTATAATTTTAACTATCAACTTATAACCTCATTATACACAATTATCATAAAAGCTTGGGGGAATAAGGCCCTAAAATGTCACTAATGAACTTGAAGGAAACTAATTTTCTTGTATAATTCTTCTTTCTCCAGAACTTACATAGAAATTTTAGTTAATTTGTTAATTTAGTTAATCTTATGAGGAAGATATCTTAAAGATATTTCCATCATGTTGCACTTTTATTGCATCAATAAAATGGAATGAATTGTGATGACTTCATTATTGATTTATTTTCTTATTATTACTTCTTTCAATTTAGAACAATAATATTTTCCAAATTGATACTGAAATACAACAATTGAGTTGAAATCATTCAATTTATTCAATAGGAAATCCTCTTTTGTTAATTTTTTCTTCTTTCTAAGAAATGGTGCCCTTATCAATTTCAAGAAATTATCTGTCACATCCCTTGTCAGTCAGCATGCCCTTATCCACAATGATTCCATCATCAGGTTCAGACTTCCCAATGAAATTGTCTTTATTAAAAAATTGCTTCATCAGTAGCTCAACCTTAATATCCTTAAATGCCAACAGAAATCAGCCCTGATGGAGTGATATTGCAATAAGAATTTGACTGTGAGTTTTTGTAATGTGTCTGTACAATAGGAGCACTGAGGAAGTGAACATATCTTTCTATCTCGTAAATACAAAAACATATTGGAAAACTTCAAAATTTATCAAAATTCACTGGATTGCACAATGCTAAATTTGTTTGTTTTGTCACCTCCGCCATTTTCATTTTGCCGCTCGACAAAAAACGACTAGGGAAACAGTGACGTCAGGCCTTATACAGTGTGTCCCACTTACCATGCTCACCATGGGTATCTTTTTAACGGTGAGAGATACGAGGTCGGTTAAATGACACCAAATGTGGAGTTTGTCAAGGCCAACTATAATGTGAAAAAATATTTTGATAAAATCTATTCGTTTTTGTTTTATACGCAAAAAACAGATTTTGATCATTTTCATGTCTCCTCCATAACTTCTTTATTCATGAAAATATTCAAATAGGAATTTCACATTCTCATGGCAGTTTTTCAAAGTGATTTCGAACAAAATATGAAATTTATACCAACTCTTCTAGAATTTGAGATATCTGCACCAACTTTAGTTTTTCAAATGTAGGTCATAGCTCACTATGACTTAGTTACAAATAACTGTTTTTTCTCTCACAGATGATATGTCGCAGTAATAGTTTTGTGTTGATAACAACGGAGTTATCGTCATTTATACAAAAACAAAAAATTATTTGTATGCCGCCATCTTAATTTTATGAATTTTAACAGAAACATCATGATCTCCGACCTCAAAAACCCCCACTTACCAATTTTGAATGGAATCGGACCAAATCTTGTCCGCCATCTTGGAGCAGCCATTTTTTTTAATTTCAACAAAAATTCCATAACTCCGATTAACTTGAAATTTGGCAGGTGTTCATAATTTCGGTGACAATACATTATGGAATTTTTGTTGAAATTAAAAAAAATGGCTGCTCCAAGATGGCGGACAAGATTTGGTCCGATTCCATTCAAAATTGGTAAGTGGGGGTTTTTGAGATCAGAGATCATGATTTTTTTGTTAAAATTTTTAAATTCAAGATGGCGGCTTGCAAATAATTTTTTGTTTTTGAATAAATGACGATAACTCCGTTGTTATCAACACAAAACTATTACTGCGAAACATCATATGTAAGAGAAAAAAAATCTTTTTGTAACTAAGTCATAGTGAGCTATGACCTACATTTGAAAAACTAAAGTTGGTGCTGATATCTCAAATTCTAGAAGAGTTGGTATAAATTTCATATTTTTTTCGAAATCACTTCGAAAAACTGCCATGAGAATGTGAAATTCCTATTTGAATATTTTCATAAATAAAGAAGTTACGGAGGAGACATGAAAATGATCAAAATCTGTTTTTTGCGTATAAAACAAAAACGAATAGATTTTATCAAAATATTTTTTCACATTATAGTTGGCCTTGACAAACTCCACATTTGGTGTCATTTAACCGACCTCGTATCTCTCACCGTCAAAAAGATACCCATGGTGAGCATGGTAAGTGGGACACACTGTAGAGTTAAACCTTGTAATCTACTCACCCAGCTGCGCACACTGCACCATCTCCGTGTACCGCGACAGATCCGCCTGCGGGTGCGGATCCAGCCGGAAGCTGGTGTCGCAGCGATCCAGCGGCGTGAGCACGTCGAGGCTGAACAGCTCCGAGTAGAGCAGCCCCGCCAGGCCCGCCCAGTCGCCGGGCGTGAGCGCTTTGCCGTCCCAGAACTGGTCCTCGGTACGGCCCAGCTTCGGGAAGACGTGCGTCGGGTAGAAGCGCTCCAGCATCATGGCGCCTTGCTGGATGGCGATCTGGAATCGGGCACCGACGTGATAGAGTAGCAGAATAATGATTTGTCTTTCTCTACGACTATCGTATTACAAATACAAATATATTTATTAGTACTCGCAACAGCGGCCATACAACAGATGGATGTACACGTCATTTTTTTTTGCGAACAGTTTGATGAAAAAATACATGTAGATACACAATAAATAGTAATAATATATAAATACAAAAAGAATTGTGAAAATAATACCTACACAAACATATTTAAATTTACTCTATTGAGTCGTCAAGGAACTCACTCACGGCATAATATGCCTTTCTTAACAATATTTTTTCAATTTCTTTCTTGAATGAATTACTGTTCATGTTTTGTATGTTGATGGGGAGTTGGTTAAATAACTTTGCACCAACATATTCTGGACTTTTCTCAAATTTTGTCAGCCTGTGTTTTGATACACTTAATGAGCTAGCATTTCTTGTAGGGTAATTATGATAAAAGGAGTTCTGTTTAAATTTATAGAAGTTTTCTTTCACGTATATGAGTACTTTATAGATATACACGCAAGGAAATGGCAATATCTCTTTCTGGATGAAGGTGGATTTACAACTATCTCCAAATTTCATATCAAACATGAGCCTTAGAATTCGTTTCTGGCTGATAAATATCCTTTCGGAATTGGTGCAGTCTCCCCATAAGATGACATTATAAGACATGTGGCTATATACAAGTGAATAGTACATATCAACAAGTACTTTTCTGTCCACAGCTTTTTTTAATTTTAGTATTGCGAAAAACCCACACTTGAGTTTTTTCAGAACATGTTGTATGTGATTATCCCATGTCATATTCTGGTCAAGATATAGACCTAAAAATTTAGTTGATTCTGAATGAATAACTTCTGTAGATGCTAAGCTAGGACTATTCTTCGTACATTTGAATTGAAGGTAAACTGTTTTTTCGACATTCAGTAAGAGGTTATTAGCACCGCACCATATTCTGAAGGAATTTGTCACATTTGTCATTGTAATTTTAAGTTCTTCCAGAGTGTTTTCTGAGACCACTACTGAAGAGTCATCCGCAAACATCGTGATCTGTCCATTGGTTACATGGTCAGGCATATCATTGACAAAAAGTATGAATAGTAGTGGTCCCAGCACCGACCCTTGTGGAACACCAATATCCATACAGTATTGTTCTGAAACTTCATTGTTTATTTGTACATACGCCTTCCTTTCAGTCAAATAGGATTCTAAGACATCGATAATTTTTCCCCTTATTCCATTTCTATTAAGTTTTTCTAGGATGAGTGATATTTTTAAACTGTCGAAGGCACAGGAAAGATCAAAGAAGATGCCACCTACGTATCTGCCGGCATCGATATTAGCATATACACTTTCCATGAATTCACATGCAGCACTCTCCGTTGATCTTCCGGTACGAAATCCATGTTGTCGAGGAGAGAGTATTTTGTTGGTATCGAGAAAGTCAAGAATTCTTTCATGATTCTATACAAAGAGATCATATTAACAAACTAGGAAAAGATTTGCAGTAAACATTTCCGTCCAGAAGATATAGGCATATTCTAAGCGAAATGGGATATATGTAAAATCAAATTCAGTCCCACAACTGTACCTCACAAGGACTGATTATATTCGTTGTGAAAGGTAAGTCACGTAGTAAAATTGTAATATTATCATAGAATAGGCATTCTGGTGTCAGTATATACAGGGTGTCCCTAGACCAGTGGGACAGTTGAATATCTCCTGAACCAATAGGAATTTTCGAAATATTATAATTCCACATCATATCGCATTATGAGTGCTAACTTCAGGAATTACTATATTTTCTAGGAGGGGCACCCTGTATTTTATTGCATTTTCATAATCTCCTTGAAGAGCTGAATTCAATGACCTAGCACACTTGGGCTCTAGCGGGAATGGTTTCCGAGATATAGGGTGTGGAAAATCAAGATTTTTCATTTTTGAGAGTTTTTTGTGTCAAAACTATTCATTATTGGTCAAAACGGCTTACATGTCCGTATCTTAACTTTTGATTTACTATTTACTCGTATTTAATTGAAACAAATACAGGGTGGTGTGGAATTCCGACTGAAACTGAGATTGGTATGTCATTCACAAATTATGTAATTGCCCGCAACTCAGTTGCATTAATCTCTGACTATCGTAGTCTTCTACTCGAGTATAATAGCTATCATTATACGATCGTTGGAGAATATATTATTTGTCTGCAAAAAATATAAATCAGCAATATTTCAGAGTCCAAATGGGCGGAAGTCTAGTTATGACCAGACGAATCTAGTCAACTTGGTAGAAAATGGGGTTGTGATGCCTTCTAATATCTTTAACATATGTCTCGCTAGTATAGTGGCCCAAAGTACTACAAAGAGGGGTCATAGCAAGACTGAGCAAGGCTGATGATATTAACGCCAACCACTGCCATGGAGACATTATTGGATCTGTCTCCCCTTCATTCGATGGTAGACGGAGAGATTTGGTGCCTTGAGAATGCGAAATACACTGGAAAATGTCAACATAGAAACAGGACATATGAGCATTGTTAGAATAGTGATCAAGGACATAGGTACTTAAAAGGAAAACAAATCACATTCCGAAACGTTATATATTTTACACTTCTTTCGAGGGTGTCTAAACTAGACAGAACTGAATGGAATAAAGAATAACTCTGCACCATATTGCAGAGAAATATCTGGTATACTTACGGGCCCAAGACTGGAATATAATCCAAATACGCGGAGACTAGTCTCAGTTAGAGTCACTGGATGGTATTAGTTTGATAAGAGTTCGGACACAGCTGAACTTTTGTCCTTTTCTATTTTCTATAATACAATGGTTTAGGTGAATAAAAGAATAAGACATATATTCGGCTCTTTGTCATTTCAATTTCCCTAGTAGTGCCTGATTGTCAGATACGATTTTAAAGGTTATATTTTCTGTCAAATCAATCATAGCCGTAGATGGACAATGGGTATAGGGTACAAACACCCAATTCAATTTATAGTGATACACTTCTAACAGAACAACTGTTATATAAATGAAAAGAATGCATGTAACAACATTTTAATATTAGAAAATATACACATATGGATGAACTTATAGCTATAATTCCTTATTATATGTGAAACTGTACTCCAGTGATGAGTATATAAAACATGATAGATAGATATTCTCAATATACAGGAAGTAACATAAGTACTTTCAGGTGAAGTATTCCTGAGACAATTATAAGAAATAAAGTCTATATAAGCTTTTGTGTCCGGAAATGCATCATTTCGTAGATACAGAGTGCTGAAATACAAAGAACAAATCATTTTTCGATAAACATTTGATAGGAAAAAGGTAGTTTATTTTGACGAGACCTACCAAATACTTGGTTTTCTAAAGTTCTCAGCAACTCCACTTAGCGCCCTAGGAGCTAATAAGTAACATGGATCGATATAGAAAATATCTCCAAAACATTAACCTCCAGCGTAATTGAGGCCCTTGTAATAATTCCCTTGATACATAAATAAATATTCACTGTCCACTGTTGAATTTTAAATTTGGTCGGCACCAAAAACGCCATTCAATAATATATCACTCTGTAGTTTACTTGCTTCTCTTAGTTTCGTTTTCAAATTCTCAATTTCATTATGTAATTTTGCGATCATTTCCTCTTTTCCATGATCATTTCGTTTTGTATTTTGTGTGATGATAATAATGGAAATTTGTTCTGGAAATCGCCTGCTTTGTAAATTGATGGAACAGCAGATTATTCTCACAAACAGAATTTGAAATCTTCTGTTTGAAGATGGGCCTAAATAGTTTCATTCTAATCAGATGCTGTTATAAAAAGTGAATTTCAATGAGTACCTCACAAATTTCGCTCGTCTTCAAATTGATTTTGCACCCATCAGGCCATTTCATATCTTCCTTCCATAAGCGAATGGTTGATATTTGTTTCGGAAAATTGAATCAATGATATCCATTTTCTTCAGAATTGGCACAATTTATTACACAGCAAGTAATTTCCATAGCTGCTTTCATCTCGAATGTATAATTATGAAATTTTATTTCAATTCTGACGTTTATAAAATGTATTGTCAAATTCAAACAATTTTGAATGAAAAAGCGCGGGACGACTATGATGCTGTTGTCACAATGCAAGGTGTGAAACTTAATAAATCTAAACACTCAAAAACCCTAACCGTTGTCATTTCTGTGTCCGAACTCTTATCAAACTAATAACATCCAGTGACTCTAGTCTCAGTTACTCGTTGGGGGAGTACGTCACCGGTTTTCAAGCAGAGGTATACGCAGATCTCCAATTTTTTTTTGAAGAATTATCATCTTGAAATCGTATGTTGATGACATGGTGAAAAGAGTGAGTGACAAACGTGCTTCAATTCGAAAGAACGGTGCTTGTTTTTGAGCACACTTCGACATCAATTTTCCAAGTAGTCACCACCTACATAACTATGATCTACACCACACACTGTGTTGTTTCGTTTAATATCAAATTTCAGTAAACCTCGTATTATTCAATAAAACTCGTATTTTAGACAAGTTCAAAAACCAAATCTTATCTTTTATTTCAACAACATTCATTTTTTCTACAATGTCAATCTGGATATCAAATTGTGTCAAACATATAAACATCTACAGGATGTAAAACATCTACAGGATGTAACATTCTCCCCCCGGTGAAGTATCTCAGCATTCTTCATCTAATAATAGTTTGCACAATTTTGTTACTGGGCGTTTGTAAATACTATTATTTATTCGAACATCGGCTACACGAATATGGCCGTCAATACCGGGATATACAGAGACTATTTTTCCCATTCTCCAAGAACTTCTTGGTGAGTTGTCGTCAACAATAATAACAATGTCATTAACTTTCAAGGGTTTATTATCATCTGTCCACTTTTTCCGCTGAGTGAGAGAGGGTAAATATTCTTTCACCCATCTACGCCAGAAATTGTTTGCCAACATCTGTGACTTT